GATGAACATAATGATAATGGCGGGAAACAGAACAAAGGAGCACATGGGGAAGGTCACATGATAAAAAAACAGAGACAAGACAGTATAACAATAATTAATATTCATAAAGTACTATGAGGGTTGGGTTTAGGTGTTTGTAAAATACAATAAAAGGGAAAATTAATGAGTAATATAAATAATTCTCATTAACTTCAGGCCGCAATCATATCCAATCTAGCAACAACCCATCTTCTGGTGGCTACTTCCAGCAGGATAACATGCCATGTCTTAATGATCAATCATCTCAGACTAGTTTCTTGCACATGACAATGAGTTTCCTGACCTCAAATGGCCTCCAAAGTCACCTGAGCTCAATCCAATAGAGTACTATTGGCATATGGTGGAACGGGAGATTCGCATCATTGATGTGCAGCTGACAAATCTGCAGCAACTGCGTGATGCTATCATGTAAATATGGAGCAAAATCTCTGAGGAATATCTCCAGTGCCTTGTTGAATCTGTGCCACGAAGGATTAAGGCAGTTCTGAAGGCAAAAGAGGGTCCAACCCAGTACTAGTAAGGTGTACCTAATAAAGTGGCCGGTGAGTGTATAATATATAGTCATATATTTAGACAATCTTTTTTATTAGTCTACATCATAAGACAGTTTTTGGATTAATGAAATGCGCTATGTGTATTTGGATCCACTTTGTTTTCTGTTGAGATCTAGCAAGCAACCAATAAATCAATAAAACAATAAACACCAAATTTTGCAGTCTAAATATGGACTGGGCCTGGCGTGTGAGCATATACTAAAACATTTATAATCTTTCAACGTATCTTTTTAAACTGTTTGAGTGTAGTGAATGAATTATGACTCTGTGAACTTGAATGGTTTAATCATGAGTCACAGCGACCTCTAGTGGTCACTTACTAAATCTCCAATACAGGGGTCAGATCAGGGTCACTCACCAACATAGGCTTATATTAGTCAACCTGAGAGGGAAATTCTGCCTAAAGCTGATGGCAAGTTGAAATGACTATTGCTAATAGATACTGCATATAAGAATTTAACAAGCAATTAATTAATTATATTAGATCAAGCATTTCTATAGAGCAGGGGTGTCAAACTGATTTTAGCCGAGGGGCCACATGGAGAACAATCTATTCCCAAGTGGGCCAGATTGGTAAAATCATGATGCATTTAACTTAAAAAGAATAACTTAAGACTGTTTTCTTTGTTTTAATCCGACCAACATAAACATAAAGCTGGAGCCTGAGGAAAACACGATCTCACGCTAATTGAGAGTGATTTACTTATCCACCAATGACGGTTGGGTTGAGGCGTGTGGTTGGATGTCATGCTTCTTTTTTAACATTATACATTTTCGTATGACTGACCTTGTAAAAATTAGCCACTAGTTTAGTTACTGACAACATGTAAAATAGTTACGTTTTCTCATGAGAACACTTCAGTGTGGTGTGGCAGGGCATAGATGTGGTCTTTCTCTCTGAAAAGACTGTCAAACTGATGCTGGACTTGTCAGTAACCTGGGTAAAGCGTTTCCGATGAACTGAATACCATTAGAAAATCAGCACGTTTAAGGTCTGCTTTCTTTAAAAATCAGGTGATCTCTGTCATGTGTAATGGAAATGTCAAAGTCAACTTTGATGTGTACTGCGCATGCATGCAGACGAGGGGAGTTCTGGGAATTGCTGTGAAACAACAATCTACCGGCTAGTGTGTTTGTGCTGGTGTTCAATAAAAGAGCTGTTCGCTGTTAAACCAGATTATAACGACTTGCGTAGTTAATTGGTGACCAACGCTACACTCTCCACTGTTTGAGTTATTCGATATAAAGTAGGTCTTAAATTGTACAAGAAGCACTGCATTAAATTACATTATCCCCACCATGTCGGCGCTACCCAGCCAATTCTGACGGGCGCATGCGAGTAAAGGCTTTTGCCTCGTTTTACGCTTGAGCAACTAAATGAATGCCAAAGTCTATTTAATTGATTGTATTTTAATTCTATTACAACATTGATGCTGTAAAAGGATTCGCATAAAATGGAAAAAAAAAAAAAGTCACAGGCTCCGTCCAAAACCGCATACTATACAGTACGCTAAAATCAGTATGCGAGCCGAGTAGTATGTCCAAATTCATAGAATTCGAAAATCAATATACGAGAAGTACCCGGATGACTTACTACTTCCGGCGAGATTCTGGAGTGTGCATCCCATGCACGCTGCGCTATCCCATAATGCCCCGATAGAGAATTCATGAATGGGAGTAAAGTGACGCAACTAACGTAGGTATGTCACGTGACTTTGAAAATTGGCCGATGTTGTACGTCCGAATTCCATTTTTAAGCTGCGTCCCAAATCGCATACTTATGCACTATTCTACGCCATTTTGTAGTATAAATAGTGTAAGTAGTGTGTTCACACTGAAAACTCTAAAATTAATAAGTGCACTTTAATTACCCGGATGATGCACTCATTCAGCCGCTAAAATGAAGTGTGTAATGATGGACACTTCACGCACTCAATGACCGCAGGTTTGCTTACGTGGCGGAAGGGGCGGAGCTATCGGACGCACATGTTGATTAACTTTATTTATTTTGGATGTTGAACGCAAAATTCTCCTACGAGAGTGCGTATAGCGCCTACCGATGGTGAATGCGGCAATACTCACGGCCGGTATTATTTGATAATTCGGTCGTTTATTTCACTGATTTGGCAACCGTCAAACGTCATCAGGGAAACTTTGAATTTCCGCTTAGTAAAAAACATTGATGTGCCATTTGGGACGCCACTACATACATATACGATCCTGTTGAGTGTGTAAGTGCATAAGTACATAGTGCATGAGTGCATAGTGTATAGTGTGCCATTTAGGACGCAGCTCCAGAATTCGAAAATCAGTATGCGAGAAGTACCCGGATGACTTATTACTTCTGGCGAGATTCTGGAGTGCACATCCCATGCACGCTGCGCTATCCCATGATGCCCCGTGAGCGAATTTATGAATGGGAATAAAGCGACGCAAATGACGCAGGTACGTCACGTGACTATGTCAAAATGGCCGATGTTGTACGTTCGAATGTCATTCATACTTTTCACATTCATACTGTATAGAACGTACTTGACTAACGGCCGAGTAGTACGTTTACATTCAAATGCAGTACCTACTGAGTAGTAGGCGGTTTCGGACGCAGCCACATTAACCTTTCACCGGAATTTTAAAGTATGGGAAGAAACACTAGCTCCACATACACTATTTAAGCTTCTGGTTCGGATGAAATTAACAGTTTGCAATTGCGCTATTGCATCCAGTGGACACAACTGGAACTGCAGTTTCTTTTACTGAAAAATTGCAGGTCATTCTATACTTAACAAAATCATCTTGCGTGTGCAAATGAACTACCGCACAGATTTAAACACTTCTATGATTATAGTATAAGAAATGCAAAAGCAGTGATATTGATGAGCATACATGCCGAGGTGAATCAGAAGCAGAAACAGAGGAAAGTGACACTTTGAGGCTGAAAGAGTGACAGTGATGTAGAAAAGCCCAGAGGGAGATTCACTGGCCTCAATAAACTGGCCCACTTTATCCAGAGCATTGCTCCTATCTCACTCACACACACAAAAACACACACACACACACACACACACACTCACACACACACACAAACACACACACGCACACGCACGGACATGCACACACACGCACGCGCGCGCACAGACATTCATGTTTTTTAACTAAACAACAAACTAAGATTTAGAAAATCTCTATTTACGTTGGAAAAAATCATGTAATGTAAAACAGAAAAGGAATATTAGTTATTATTATAAATGTTGTGGCTGTTTTGAGTGTTTTTTATGATTCCTGTAATCAAGTCAACTGAAAACAGACTACTAATAAAAAACAAAACTCATACACACAGTTTCACTTTCTTTTTCAATTTTTTAACTAAAAAACTAACGAAGATTTATAAAATCTTATAAATCTATAAAATGCCAAGGGTTTAGTCCGGGTGCTCCGGTTTCCCCCACAGTCCAAACACATGCGCTATAGGGGAATTGGATGAACTAAATTGGCCTGTGTGTGTGTGTGTGTGTGTGTGTGTGTGTATGGATGTTTCCCAGAAATGAGTTGCAGCTGAAGGGGCATCCAATGTTTAAAACGTGGCGGAATAGTTGGCGGTTCATTCTGCTGTGGCGAACCCTAATAAAAAAAAAGACTAAGACAAAGGAAATTACACAGAAAACAAACAATCATGTAATGTAAAATAGAAAAGGCATATCAGTTATAATTATTAATTTAGCGGCTGTTTTGAGAGTTATTTTTTTATGTATTCTCTAATCAAGTCAACTGAAAACATAATAATAATAATAATAATAATAAAAATTCACACAAACAATTTTACTTTCTCTTTTAATTTTTGAACTAAAAAAAACTAACTAAGATTTATAAAATCTACATTAACATTACAGAAACATTATCAACTGACAAATGCTGTGGGTTTCCTCCAGGTGTTCTGATTTCCCCCACAGTCTGAACACATGCACTATAGGGGAATTGGATGAACTAAATTGGCCATAGTGTATAAGTGTGTGTGTGTGTGCGCGTGTTCGTATGTGTATAATAAATGTAAAATATTTTATATAATATAAAACACAAGTTAGTGGTTCTGCTGTGGCGGCCCCTGATGAAATAAAGGGACTAAGCCGAAGGAAAATGAATGAATAAATATTACTGAACATTTCAAAATGGAAAAACAAAGATAGAAACAAGTTAAATAGGAATAAAAACATACAGAAGATAATAGTTCCTCATGGCTATTAAATAGAGTGCGTTTTGCTAACATGTTTTGAGAGATTTTCAGGATTTCAGTGAAGGCAGCACTAAAATCGGAGCTATTAAAAGCATCAGGGGAGTGTATTTGTGCAGTTTCGGCATGTCTGAGAAAAATAAATAAATCAGATTACACACTAAAAGCAAAAAACAAACCAAAACGTTTGACGAATCTTTATTTGTATTGAAAGAGCAACACGATTAGTTTCTCTCAGAGAAATGGCTTGTTCATGAATGGATAAATAAAGCCTTAATCAATGTTTATACAGTTTAATTCATAACAATATAGATACAGATAACTGTTAGTGGCAAAGACGAATCAGAAAATCACCAACAACAACATAAAACATTTAAAAACATCAGGATCACAATCAGGACATGTGCATATCTAACAAACTAACTAAAGAAAAATGACCTTTTCAGCAGAGAAAGGCAGAAAAGAAACACTGGTCCTCATAATCTGTTAGTGGTAAAATATCTCACAGCAGAAGCGGACGCAAAATTTGGCACTCAATAAGCTCTGATTGATTGCACAGAAAGATTAAACTAAATATGACCTTAAGGCGCTTTTAAAATATATAGTGCACAAAATATATGGCATTTTGCCCTCTTCAGCGCTTGTTAGTGGTGTCTGTAGTTTAATTATAACTATACATAAAAATATAATTATCATTAATACATTTCATATATAAGATCTGTATTTGTATTATTTATACAAATTTATATAAATTTATATAAATGATACATTTGATCCATCACACACACACACGGAAAAAATATTTCAGTTTCTCAGGATTGTTTGGATTTAATGTGTTTGAATGAAATGAACCTGTTTTTATTTATAAACCAAAGTTTTAATTGTTTGTGATTGAAAATTAGGACTATTTCATTTGTTTTTAAATGCTTCGATCATTATTATTATGTATAAAAACATAGCTGAAAACAAGGCACGCATTTCTTTTTACCAACTACAAGCTTATGATATAGATCAGGGGCTTTCAACCTTTATAGGACACACACTCCCCAAGTTCATCTAATGTCTCTCGCACCCCCCTCCCCCCCAACCCCCCGGTCTGTAGTTAGCATATAAATATATTATTTATTATATTGTTAACACTTTAGTATAAATTGTGAGAAATAAAACCGCTGTCTTTTTTTTTTCAATAGCCACATGCACGTGAACACACATGCACGATTTGTTTTCCCATCTTAGTGATGACATTACATAGACTGCTATTGTTTTTTTTTATCAGGTCACTGATACTGTCTGTCTATGGCTTAACCGAAAACCCAACTCACATAGAAACAAGTGCAGATCATTAGATGGATGACCAATGATACTGATAAAACACATCATAGATGCAATGCTTTTACTAGGTGTGATACTTCTAAAAACATCTGAACAATTTATAAGCATTAATAATTATGTCCTCATAGTGGATCACTTGTATATTTACTATTTAAGTGGGGATAATGAAGCCCTCACAGGTATAGCATAGCTAGACCAGTTCACACACACACACACAATTTATAATGTATACATTTTTCAAAATCTGGCCAATATTAAACCCAACACAATAAAGCTAAACCTCACAAAAGTGACACACTGCAGCTAAAAAGAAAAATATTAGTAATGCAAACAATACGTCACTATCTGTGTTTCCATCCACAGATGTGAATTAGATTCATGCGCAACACTGGAATATGCCATAAAATGTTTGCAAATAAAGAAGCGTTTCCATAAAATGAGTCAAACGAGTCACTTCCTGATAAACTGGCACCAAATATCAGACAGAAAAATTCAGTTTTCTGTGTTTTTTTTTCTTCTATAATAAATGAGTTTTGCCTCAGAGGATGAATTGTAATGAATGCAATTGATTTTGAAGATGTGAGATGCTCTTTGTAGGAATAATAATAATTAATAATACTGAACCACTGTGATGACAGACTTTAGCTGAGGAATTTTAGACCAAAACAACATTTCAGATGTTTTTGTTTTGGCTTGTCTATTAACGCCGTCACATTGTGCCAATTTTCATCATCACATAATCTGCTAAAACAAAAATCACATGACTTTTTTGATGCACATGCTGGACATAACTCAGTAGAAAATGTTTTCATCACCTTTTTCCACATGAGCACAGCGTTAGCAGCGCATGTTTTTTCAGCATTTATGTTAACAAATTAATACCGTACATAGAAGCATCACGTGAGTGTGGTGCTGCGATCATTTCAGCGCTGGGTTTAATTTTGCTGCACTCTTCATGCTCATTTAAAGTGACAGTGCATTAATAATGACCAAACGCATATTGAATGACAAAAAAATAACAGTTTTACCCATTAAATGCATCAATAATATCCACTGATATATATATATATATATATATATATATATATATATATATATATATAGTCAATTAAATGAACGATTAAATAACACAGCAAATATTTAGTATTATTAAAATGTCGAATTTTAATATTAGTTTTGCTTAAGTTGCACACTAGTTTGATCATGTATAAACATCCTTATAACTATGTTGTATAAATATTATTAGAACTACATGTATAAATATTATTAGAACTACATAGGCCTACATCATCCTGACAATCAAAAACAGAACTACGTGATAACACAGGTGATTGTCTTCTGTGTGCACCTGAAAACACATGACTGACACTCCTCATAGAGGGTGAGAAGCAGACAGTTCTTTAGGATCTATATCATTTGTATGAAAAAAAAAAAGACTTGCAGGTTAAGGAAACAGCATGGGAGGAAGTTGCCGTGGCCCTTGGTGCAGATGAAAAGTAAAATAAAGTGTATTTATTTATATAGATAGGTAGCTAGACAGAACAGACAGAAATAGAATAATCTGTGCAACAGCCGGTGATCTGGTGTGAAAGGCAAACGCCTGCACGCTGCTGCTGCTCTCCCCATGCGCTGCTTCAGCTCTGCTTGCACGTGCGGTGTGAAACGGACATTATCTTAAGAAATGTCTTGAAAAAAAAATCTTCTCTCTGATGGGAAAAATATATATAAAATTATTAAAATTTAACAGGAGGGCTAAAAATTCTAACTTAAACTGTATAAGCTTTTTATGTAATTTTGCATTAGCAATATTCCAAAATGTGCATGAAAATAGCTGGATGAAATCATAGCTAATAACAAAAAGACAATCAATGTGCTCGATTTTCCTGCATAGTAAAAGCCCAGCGACTGTAGTATGTTTATTTCACATTCAGACAGATCATATTTTCCATCCAGCCCTTTGTTCTGAGAAAGAGATGCTTCGAGTCTGGCTTTAGTAAAGTGGAGTTGTAAATCTCCCATGAGCCCCCCTGTGGTTCATTCTGACCTGTGAGCGGAGAGCTTCATGGCATATCGTTGATTTCCTCAGCCTCCACCAGACAGGTCTGATCGGCGGACGGGGATCTGAAGGGCGGATGATACTCGATCAGGTTGAGGATGGAGGATCCAGGGTTGTGTCTTTGTTGGACGAACCAAATGACAGCAGAAACGGCCAGAATGAGCACCACGCTGATGATGACCAGAGCCGACATCAGAGGTTTGCTCTCTGTAGAACACACAGAAAAAACATGATAGGATCAATATTTACTTTCATTTATGATGCATGCACACTCATTTAAAAATAAATAATAAGCATGAATTTAGGATATTACGCATCTCGTTAATTGCAACTAACTATACGACTGTCACAATCACCTGCGGAGGTCGCTGAAAAACATTGGCTGTTTCTCAATATGCGTTCTTCAGCGGTCTTGCGTCCTCGTGTTCTCGTGAAACGTCATCATCAGCTGCCGAAGTTCAGTTCCAATACTCAAGACCGCAAGTACGGAGGACGCGTGAAACTTCCCGGATGTGATCTTGATATCGAGGATGCACCGATGCAGACTTGAGCACCGAACTCGCTCTGGAAGTCCCAGAAGTCATTGCGACTGAAGGTGGGAAGCGCTGCATTTTATTTAGATTTATTATTAAAGTTCATAGATATGAATTATTTACCTCAGGAGTTTCCCTAAATGAAACGGTGAAAGTAAACATTAACATGAATATCTTAATAAATGAATAAACACATTAAGGGTGTTTGTTTGCTGAAATTCGTATTAAAATCTGTTTTATTCATATTGTGCAGAGTATATTTAAAATGTTTTTATGCAAAGTATATATTTTGAAAAGGGGAAAAACAATAAATCTTTGGATGAAGGCTGTAATGTTTATATAATTTACCATTTAAAACGCGTGAAGGTCATGTGACCATCAGGAAGAACGCAGCATCCCATTTCTCACATGACGCGTTCTCTGCCCTCGCGGTCTCCTGAGTTCGTTCTTCCGACGACACCTGGCAAGACCGGTCTCCACAAGAACACAAGTCCGTTCTCTGCGTTCTTGGAATTGAGAAACAGCCAAGATCTCTTATTCTAACTACAAATCCGCCAGTTTATGGACTACAACTGCATACATGCATTTCACCCAGACACACATTCTTCCTCATCTAGACTGATTACACTCACACCACCTGAGGATTGTCAGAGACTGACTGAACACACTATTTAAGCCACACACTCACTAAGTTACAATAACTATATGTAATTTAAAAAGTATGGAACATTTTTCAGTTTTCTGGATTTATGACTTTTTGTGTAATGTATTTTTTTTTTAAATCAAGACAATACTAATGTTTTAACTTCAGAAAAATTAATATTCCATAGAATAACCATAATGTTCACTCTTTTAGAAACCTTGATTTTTGTTTAATCTCAAGAAACAAAATTATATTTGAGAAAATGTAATTTTTTTATTTAGATATATACTATACATGTATATGATAAAATTATATATACACACACACACACACACACACACACACATTTAAATATCTATGCTAACAAAGTTTGTAGTTTTGTTTTTATGCATGTGTGTGTATTACTTAAACATAGTACACACACATATCTTGTCAAAACAAACTTTTACTTTAAATACGATTAATCTTTGCCCAGCATTATTATATTACTGGCCACTTTATTAGGTACATCGTACTAGAACCGGGTTGGACCCACTTTTGCCTTCAAAACTGCCTTAATCCTCCACGGCATAGATTCAACAAGGTACTAGAAAATTCCTCACAGGTTTAAGTCCATTTTGACATGATAGCATCACGCAGTTGCTGCAGATTTGTCTGCTGCACATCTATGATGCGAATCTCCTGTTCCACCACATCCCAAAGATGCTCTATTGGATTGAGTTCTGGTGAATACTCAGGTAAGCTGTGGCGTTGACTACTAATTGTTAATAATGGGCCCAAAGGGTGTCAAGAAAATACCCTCCACACCATTTCACCATCACCACCAGCCTGAACCATTGATACAAGGCAGAATGGATCCATGCTTTCATGTTGTTGATGCCAAATTCTGACCCGACCATCCGAATGTTGCAGCAGAAATGGAGACTCATCAGAGCAGGCAACGTTTCTCCAATCTTCTAATTGTCCAATTTTGGTGAGTCTGTGTGAATTGTAGCCTCATTTTCCTGTTCTTAGCTGACAGGAGTTGCACCCGGTGTGGTCTTTTGCTGCTATCTGGCCATTCTCCTCTGACCTCTGGCATCAACAAGGCATTTGCGCCCACAGAACTGCCGCTCACTGGATATTTTCTCTTTTTCAGACCATTCTCTGTAAACCCTAGAGATGGTTGTGCATGAAAATCCCGGTAGATCAGCAGTTTCTGAAATACTCAAACAGAGCAGCCCATCTGGCTGCAACAACCATGCCACGTTCAAAGTCACTTAAACCAGCTTTCTTCTCCATTCTGATGCTCGGTTTGAACTGCAGCAGATCGTCTTGTCCATGTCTACATGCCTAAATGCATTGAGTTGCTGCCATGTGATTGGCTGATTAGAAAAATTGTTAATGAGCCTTAGCACAGTGGACCTAATAAAGTGGCCAATGAGTGTATATACACTTTGTTTTCGAGACTTTAGACTGAAATAACAAATACTAACACTTTACTCAAACCCCTACTTAATACTCCCAGAGAAATTACATATACAGTAAATATATACATTATTTACAGTATTTACAATAATCAAGTCAATTGTATTTATGCTAGTTGTCAAAACATTTCTGATTTTAATTTAGTTAATAAATAGTTAATTTAAAAAATATTACAACCATACAAACATATTTGTGACAACTAATAAAAACAGCACAATCACACAACCAAATTAGTTTGAATATTTTGACCAATTCTGATTTAAATTTTAACACACAAAAAAAATATATATAAAAAACACCTTATTAAAATTATCTTTAAAACTCTGAGTATATTCACTCCTCACTGCTGATTGGCTACAGGAGCTCAGTCCAATCAGTTTCTCTGCAACGTTTTTCAAATATTGCTTACTGTAGCTTTAAATGTACATGTATAATAAGAAGATTATACTTACGATTTGACCTTATGACGACTGCTTCTGTAAAACAAAATGACAAAGATTGAGCATCAATTTACATTCTAACATTGTATAGCCACTGACTGTTAAAAGTACATTTATGTTAGTGGTTTAATAGATCACAAATCTCACAGTTTGGATCACACTGCGGTTTTTGAGTCACGGAATTGACCATTTTTCAGATCCGCAAAAAAAGTGATGAGACAAATGTCATTTGCCTTTTATTTATGCAGAAATATTACTGCAAAAACCATTGGTTTAACAAACAGAACTTAGAAGCTGTAATTTTAATAAAAATAAAAATCAAAAAAAGACCTAGGTGAAAAAAAAGGAGAATATTCAATACAAAAATGATCTTTGCTCCTGTTGCTGATAATGCTAAATATAGATCTTGTAGAACAGATCATATTTATTTTCATTTAATAATTCAACAATTCACACAAAAATCTTCATGTTTCATTATAGGTGGATCATTTTTGAAAATCTATTCGGTGACAATTTTGATGGTTGTTTGTCGCCACCTATTGGTTACTCAATGTAATTGCTACAACATTCACCAGCGTCAGGTTCCATTAAACTGTGATTTTAATCTTTACCATAAACATCAGTGTTTATATCTGAACTTTAAACTGTTCTCCCAGTACTCTGTGTTATTTGACTGTTTGTAACACTGAAAAGGTGTAAAACTGAATCTCTTTTGATCATACCCAGATTTGAATCCAGCACTTCGAAAGATAAATAAACACATGTAAATCATTATCATTTATCATACATGTTGCGCGGGTTTGAATTGAGATCCAATCTTTTAATGTTTAATTGTGCAGCTTTACACTGAATGCATTAATATAGGCAAAACATATATGGAACATATATATATATATATATATATATATATATATATATATATATATATATATATATATATATATGGACACAGCCATATCACCCTGCAGCCCAAGACCGGTTACTCACTGAAGCTAAACAGGGCTGAGCCTGGTCAGTACCTAGATGGGAGACCACATGGGAAAACAAGGTTGCTGTTGGAATTGGTGTTAGGGAGGCCCACAGGGGCCCTCATCCTGTAGTGTGTGTGAGTCCTAATGCCCCAGTATAGTGAAGGGGACACTATACTGTCAGTGGGTGCCGTCTTTCGGATAAGAAATTAAACCGAGGTCCTGACTCTGTGGTCATCCCATGGCAATTCTCGTAAAGAGTAGGGGTGTAACCCCGGTGTCCTGGCCAAAGTCCCTCATTCGGCCCTTACAATCATGGCCTTCCAATCATCCCCATCCACTAAACTGGCTCTATCGCCGTCTCATCACTCCACCAATAGCTGGTGTGTGTGGTGAGCGCACTTTGAAAACACTGCAAATGATGAAAGAAGAATTCAACATGTCTCAATCAAGATTAAGTTTGGAGTGCATAAGAATTAAAATGCACACCTATAAATCTAATACTCCTTTACTAAAAGGAAAGAGGTCTATAAACTACTGTTTATTGCAATGAGTGTATTACAGGAATTTATATTATTAAACATTCATGCTAAAAATAAAGTTTTATATATCTAATAACTCCAGCCAGCTTATAGTGAACTTGCAATATTGTCAACACACAGAACTTTCAGTTGTTATATAAGTAAAAAGGCCTAATTACATGCAAGACCCTTCAAATATTTTGCTGGTCTCCAACTAATGACAGCAGATCACTCGGAGATAGAGGGATTTGCACTTGCGGTATCTTTACTGCTCTATTCATTTACCCGAAGAAATGTAATGCTTAGAACAGCGGTTCTCAAACTGTGGTACATGTACCACCAGTGGTACGCAGGCTTCCTTCTAGTGGTACGCAGAGGAATCACTGAAAAATCAAAGTAAAAAAATGAACACACTTTTAACCCTTTGACGCATACCGATGTGATCGGTTAAATTGATTTAATAGGCTGTTATTGTATTTGTAATTTTTTTAATGTTTGTTATGTATTCTATCATTTGAAGCTAGTTTCCTTCCCATATTTGTAACGGATCTTGTATCACAGGTAATAATGTTCACAGGTATTGCTTTTCTGACACACAAAGCCTACTCTTACATGAAGCAAGCAGATCTAATTTCAATATGTAAATCCAAATCATATATTTAAAACACAAGTTAATGTTTAGGTTTTAAAAATATACAAATCATATATAGATGCAACACATATTTAAAAATTTATCAAAAACAGTTCATATATGAATATGATTACATCTAGACTATTTCTATGAGGTTCAAGGAACAGTTCCAGGTTTTGATGAACAGGCTACTTTATGATAATACTTCACATTTAAGTACAGCAGTTTTCTATTCACCTTTTAGGACAGTGCCACTTTTAATTTACTTTTAAAAGCACATTTTAATTTAAATGTTATTCTTTTTTACCTGTGAGTTCAGTACAGTGTTAATGTTCAAACTATTTATAATGTTTAAAATGGCTGACAATAATAAATAATAAGAAGAATTAATCTGCCTCGTTTTTTAACTGTGCAGTGCTGTAGCTGCTTAATTAGGCCTACTTTGTCATTCAATACTGGTTGTTTTGGTGGTAATAATTTTTTCTGAGGTGGTACTTGGTGAAAAATGTTTGAGAATCAATGGCTTTGAACATTGCAGTGCCTCGCTATCTGTTGTCTTGATCATTCACTCTCGTCACAATGACTTACGAGTGTTTTAAATTATTTTGGGATCACAGGGCCAGTATAAATTTAGGGAAACTCGCAGATATGTAATCATGCGACCATGTAGAGACAGAAATCACATGCCGTAGTGTAAATAAGATATTACATACGGCTATTTACCTTGTTCATTAAAAGATGTTGTGATCTGGTGCTATTTATAAAATACAATTAATATGACTTCAAGGGGGGAGGGGAAAGCTGTTGGGGGGCGGGGTGCCCCCCTAAGATAATGGTGGGGGAAACACTGAATGTATATACAAAACTACTGTATATATAAAGCAATTAAATGCCACTATAATAATTAACACAGGCAAACTGTAAATATGTGCCCCGGCCTATGTTTTGCAAACATAAACTATGTTTCTTCGGGTAAATATGGTGCACGTTTCTGGTGACAAATACATGAGGGCACTGTCTTGTTATTATGTTTCTTAGTGTACATTTTGTTTTACATTTCAGATACACGTCCTTCTTGTACATGTCTATATCAACTAGCGAACCACTGAGCTAAATCTAAATATTTGTTTTTTTATTAGTTTTTCATACTGTCGCAACTTTTTTTGATTTGGGGTTGAAGGTAGGTGATGCAAAACTTATTCGTTACAAATCATACGCAGCGTTAATTTCATTCATTTTCTTTTCAGCTTAAACTCTTTATTAATCTGGGGTCACCGCAGCGGAATGAACCACCAACTTATCTAGCATATGTTTTATGCAGCGGATGCCCTTCCAGCTGTAACACAGTACTGGGAAACACTCAGACACACTCATTCACACTCAAACATTAAGGACAATTTAGCCTACCCAATTCACCTATACTGCATGTCTTTGGACGGTGGGGGAAACCGGAGCACCTGGAGGAAACCCACGCCAACACAGAAACGCCAACTGATCCAGCCGGGCCTCGAACCAGCAACCTTCTTGCTGTGAGGCGATTGTGCTACCCACTGCGCCACCCTGCTGCCCCCAGCATTAATTTGTTTAGTGATATTTATTTATTCTTGTGCAAAGAACTACATGAAAATAATGCTTTATTCAGCAATAAAATGTCCCTGAAAATATCATTCATGTGAAAAGAAACAAAAGTTGTTGTCATCATACTGCCCCCTGGTGTTCAATATACCAATAAACTGCAGTCAAACTAGTTGAAGTACATTTTTGCAGTAAAAATGTAGGCTAAAGTATGCATTCCCAATGAGACGGTGTTGAAAATATCACAATATGGTTTACTTACTGGTCTGACACACTACTCCGTTCTCAGGCTCGTCTGTGCAGCTGATGTTTTCCCATTTGCCGGTGTTGGAGTGAAGAGCGACACACGTGTCCATCAGAGGCAGATCAGTTTCATCATCACCACCGTCCTCCCAGTTACTAAAGCCCAAAACACTGTCGTCCTCGTGCCACCTGAACACATCCCCTGAACAGTCAAACACACACAACATTGGCTTAATGCAGGTAGTTTAGTTTATTAAATGTATAAAGCACGTTCAAAACAGCTACATAAAATGCAAATAACAACAAGAGGTGAAGTAAATATAAATAACTGCTTAACGAACAAGTTAAGAAATATTACCAGCAGATTAATACTGGTTAAATGCTAAAGAGAATAAGTGAGTTAAAAAGAGATTTTAAAAAGGGTGGCCATTCTGAGTTGTACAGGCAAACCTTTTCATAAACGAAGACCCACCACCGAAAAAGCTCGGTCCCCTTGTGTATCAGCCTTGAGGTAGGGATTTTAAATAAAGTAAGATAGCTAGATCTTAAACTTCCTGGATGGTTATGGGGATGCAGGATATCTAAGAGATACTTAGGAGCCAAATTTTTTAGGCAATTGAACACAAACAGAAGAATTTTAAACTTGATCCTGAAATGGATGAGAGGGAGCCTAGGCTGGGAGTGATATGGTCATATCTGCAACTATTTTTCAGAAATTTTGCGGCAGAATTTGACCAATTGAAGTTGAGCAACCTGGAATTTAGAGCTCAGATCTTTACTGTGAAACTGCAGTTTTGACAGTTTGGTACAGTCTTGTGAATGAACAATCCGTAGGTTAGTATATGCTACATTTAGCCAGTTTGGTTTCTGTCAGCTTTGCATTTTAGGGGGTTTTCACACCTGTGAATCAATTAATTTGTTCTGAAACAGGGATTAAAATTGATACAATGTTGCTCTTTGTTCTTGGTGCTGTTTTCTTTCACACTGCAAAGTTTCTTAACGAACCAAAAGAGCTTAAATGAGTCACGTGTGAGTAAACTCTCCTCCATTGGTCAGTTTCATGGTTTATTTTGCAGAGTCCCACTCAGCTGTCAGTGGGTGGTGGTTTGGTGGTGACGAGGTGTGCGCAATGTAACTCCAGAGTTTGTTTCAATCGAGCCGAGACCAACTCATTCAAGCGATCTCCGAGCGATTGTTTAGATGCGGATCCGGGCGTGATTGGGTTTACATATGCCAAACGAACCGCGCTAACTTGGCAAACGAGACAGGTTCCGAAACAAAAGTCTAGGTGTGAAAGCACCCTTAAACTGTTTGGCACCATCTTGTGAATGAATAATGTGCAGGTTAGTGTATCTCCCATCAGCTGTTTTCATTTCTGTCAGCTTTGTGTTTTTAACTGTTTGGCGCCATCTTGTGTCTGAATAATGTGCAGGTTAGCGTATACTCCATTCAGCTGTTTTCGTTCATGCACGCTTTGCGTTTAATTAACGTATTAATAAATTATTATAGCTCAGAACAATGATCTGTGTCTAAATTTTATGTTTTGTGGGAAGCAGCCATGTAATAAGCAGGATAAAGTACATCCAGTATGGTTATTTTTGCAGAATAAAGCCCCTCAGTCTTATAGAACAGCGCTCTGGTTTTTGTCAGTCCTCCATTAAACCTGTCTGGCTTTATACCGAGATAACAACCTCTTGGATGTGCTTTATACCTAACTCAACCACCTGTGATCATAGTGGTGGTGTCGAGTCACTGGCATTGTTATTTTGGGTCTTGTGGGCTGAAATTATTGGGAACCTTAACACACAATTAAATGTTTGGGTTTGACGCTCATAAAAAACCCTTTATAAACCATGACAGAGCCACAGAGACCTGAATGTTGGTCATTCTCACTGAGCCATGAACAGAAGATCAAAGTTTACATTGTCCTCTACTTCATTGTTCAATAAGTAAGTGAAGCCTAAACAGCAAACATGTGGCGTCAGGAATCTGTTTCTATAGTTTTCATCTCGACTCAGGGTGTGGATGATGTATTCTTTGAATCCGCCAACACCCCGATCAGACCCCCAAATAACAGGATTTCCTAGTGTTGTGAGACGACACGTGTGAAAATCACACCAGAGGAAAACAACTCGCAAAAACGATGGATAGAAAAGGATGGAGGCTTGTTTTTGCCATAAAAAACTCAATTTTAACTTTTTATTTTCTAAAATTTTGTGTTTACAGCAAACATTAAAGTCCAAGCAAAGCCTGTTGGGCAAATGGTGTTGAAAATAAACCAAATTGATGTTAAAAAATGGTTTAAATATGCCAATTAAACAACAAAAAACTAAATCTTTGCAATTGTAAGAAACAAAGTCGCAATTCTGAGAAAACAGTCAAATTGCACAAAAAAAAACTGAGAAAGGTGAACCACATTATAGCGAGGGACTACTGTGTATATATATATATATATATATATATATTATACTAAATTTAGTTCAACTTTGTTCAAATGTTCTTCAATAGCGATGACTGAGTGGAAAAAGCTTTCAGCAATTGTAAGAAACAAAGTCGCAATTCTGAGAAAATAGTCAGAAACACATGATGTAAAGTAATAATTATCTAATACTGTACAAACTCAATTGCAGGAAGAGTCTGAATTGTGGAGTTAAACATTGCAATCAATGGCACAACCAGGCTAACAATTTAACCGTTAGATATTGAGCAATGCTGAGTCTGGTTCACAGAAATAGTCATCATTAACTCCTTAAAGCCATATTATTTATTAATAATGTCAAACCAGAGCAGCACAAACGTTGACTGAGCAATTCAGAATGATTTAGACTTTTCTTTTGCAAAAACAAACCATTTAAAACATAAGAAACTACTCATGATTCACTCAATTAGAAGTTATACAAACTGTCTGCAAGAGCTGACGCATATTCCTCAAAAGGAACTAAACAGACTGGTCAAGATTTTCCAAAGCACTTCTCCTTTAAATGTCCAAACTTAAATCTCTGACTAGGCAACAGTTTAATAAACAACTCTGTGCCAAGGGTTTGAGCAGATTAGTCAAGTTCAGCTGCATTCCAGTGTAGAGACGCTGGAGCACATCCAATAATCTGCTTAAACACGCTCAACATGCACTAAGTGTTTATTAGGGGAAAATGTATAACTCGAGTTAAGCACAAACTCCATATTGAACCAAATAGTATTACTAAAGAATTAATTGAGATTTTGCATAGTGAAAACAATGATGGTTCACTATAAATAAAGGTCACACAATTCTAGGTACCATTTAATTTGTCTTTTAAAACTTTGAAAAGATTATATTTTATTGCGATACATAGAAATTCCGGTCACACTTTACAATAAGGTTTCATTAATTACTGTATTTACTAACATGAACTAATTATGAACAATGATTGTACTGCATTTATAAACCAAAGTGAATAAACATTTACACATTTATGCATTATAAACAACTAAATTCATGCTAGATAACATTAGTTAATGCATCGGGAGTTATCATGAACTAACAATAAACAACTGTATTTTCATTAAGTAATGTAAGCAAACATGAATGAGTACTATAATAAATGTTTTGTTATCAATACAATAACTAACATTAACTAATACAACCGTATCGGAAAGAGTTACCCAAATTCTGAAAGAGAATTTATAAATGCATACAAAAACTATTTGTACTTCTCATAGTTGGAAAAAAAAAAAACATTTTGTCAGCACCAGTGGTGTAGTGCGTCCACACAAAAGGGTACGGTGTACGACAGAAAGTTTCAGTCGACGTCATTCTCACTTGAGGAAATGTCAAAGTTAAAGCTGTACGGGTCGTTCACATCATATGAGAAGCACTTCTCACAAAACAGATGCTTTCTACACTTAAATACTTGTGTATAAATGTTCATTACTAACCTTTCTATGAACACAATTTGATTATAACTGCAGATCAATGATTGCGAAATAGCCTACTGTCAGTGTTGGGCAGTAGTGTCGCTACAAATAGTGACACTACTAGTTTAACTACATTGCTCTGTAGCATGTCAGTAGCGTCGAAACTTTCTAAATCAAATACCTTTTTAAGTAGAGAAGCTATTTTATTAGTCAAGTCTAGTGCAGTAGCGTCCACACAAGCTACATTTACAGATCGTGGATCAATAAGTGACCACACACACTTGCTGGTTTACGGTGTTCGACATCAAAGTTTTGGTGTGTTACTGCCACCTCTGGTGAAACTTGCTTGATGGAAAGATGACTGAGGGAGAGAAGTTATTTCTCAAGCAAGATCCCTTATGATCATACCTCATCACAGTACATGTTAAGATGCAATAACTTAAATTCTAATGCTGTGCTCAATAAAATTAAAAATACTTTAGTGTGTATGTGTGTGTGTGTGTGTATTCACACTCACACACACACACACACACACACATACAATAATGCTCTCCATGCTTTGCTGTCAATAATCTCTACTGTCCTAGCCATTAAAGATAAAATCCCCGAAAAAATTATTCTAAAAAAAAAAAAAAAACATCTTAACAAACAAACACTAATGATGCATTTAAATGGGATTTTTAAAGAAGAAAACATAAGACAGAACTTTGTTCAGGAAACTGATTGGCTCCGGAAAAGTTGGTGTTACTTTCCTTAATAAGTCCTTATGTTTTGAGGGAAGTAGTTTGTCAACAAAATTTAACTTTATGTTAAACAACTTTTAATAATCCCACAAGCAGCAATTAAGATGTTGAGCCAACACAACCAAGCATGATTCATAACATATTCCACAGAAACAATAAATAATTTAATACAAAACAAAAAGACTTGCTAATGATTGCTAAAAACAAGCCTCTGCAGCAGAAGTTAATGTATATGTAATACAGGGCTCAACAATAAGGACTGCCCGGTGGCCCAGGGCCAGTGTGAGAGACGCTTGGGACAGTAGACAGGATAATTACTGGCCCGATTGGGACAGTGCTGCCTTGTCACTAACATTTAATTGGTCTGAGACTATTTGTCAATTGCGTGCATTTTAAGTTTAGTCTTTAAACACTACCTTCTCTGTGATGTCGTAAACACCATATTGCTTTCTGGTTCCTCTTGTCTGATTTGATGTTTTGAGCTTGCAATTTTTTCCCGTAACCTGATAACAGCCAGTACAGCGAAGAAACGGCAACATGGCGGCAAGATCAAATTATAAGGCTAAAAGAAATTGTCTGTTTCTAACGTCTTGGAAGCAGACATTTATGTGTGAACAATGCGACAAACAAAAGTGATTAAAAATAAAATGAAAAAAAGTGATGTTTTGCACGGTTTGCCATCAGTTTGACAAGTCGGCCACCTTTTGTTAAATAATTTCGAACCACAATAAAATACCTCCACATTTTCCCCTGCTCTTTTTATTTGGAAAACACTTTTATTAACATGTTTTTAAGTATTGAAATTCTAGATTTACTTTTTTTTTTGACACATTATTTAAAATATGTGGCAAAAAATAGCTATTAACTTCCCTTTTTTTTGGTGGGGCCAGTGAAAATTTGGTAGGGCAAGTAAAATCTGAACCACTGGCCCAATTGGGTAAATATTTTAGCTCCCTTAAGCAATTTTTTTCAACCTACAGAAAAAAACATCGTTTGACAATGACTTGCCTGATAACCGAACTTTAGCCTAATTGAGCCTTTAAATGTCACTTTAAGCTGAATACTAGTATCTTGAAAAATATCCCGTAAAATATAAATATTATGTGCTGTCATCATGGCAAAGACAAAATAAATCAGTTATTAAAAATGAGTTACTACAACTATTATGTTTAGAAATGTGTTGAAAAAAAATCTGCTCTCCGTTAAACAGAAATTGGGCAAAAATAAACAGGGGGGCTAATAATTCTGACTTCAACTGTACATTTCTTCAACTGTTGTTGAGAAACAGGCATGTTTTTGAAGGAAGCCAAACTTACTGTCGCTGTCGTAGTACAATCCAAGCCAGACGTTCATTTTGCCTTTCCACACTGAAGGGCTGTAGTTAACAACGAAGTTATTCTCGTCAGCACTTTTTACCGTCAGAAGCTCTAAAAATGTAATGGAAATGTTGTGTTTTATTTAGTGATAAATCAGCACCCAATTTTAGACATGGTTTAGAACAGTGATCACCAAACTTGTTCCGAGAGGGCGGGTGTCCTGCAGATTTCAGCTCCAACCCTAATCAAACACACCTGAACAAGCTAATCAAGGTCTTACTAGGTATACTTGAAACATCCAGGTAGGTGTGTTGAGGCAAAATGGAGCTTAACCCTGTAGGTATACCGGCCCTCCAGAACCAAGATTGGTGACCCCTGGTTTAGAGTTTGCAAAAGGTAAAAACTACCATATCCTCTGCACATGTCTTTAGCATCTTGAAGAGAGTAGCTTTTAGCGACATCTTCCGCTCCATGGATGAAGTGATAGCAGTTGCGTCCGAATGGCAGCCACGTGCGTCCATCTGCAGGGCAGTCTGTATAGACAGGACATTTTCTTATTAAACATTTCAAAGTTTCTCCTTCCTATAAATAATGTTGCTATTAATATAAAATTGTTTCTTAAAATGAAATATATTGTGTTTAATGGGAAAAATAATTGTTAGTTTTTTTCACCTAGATATATAAAAAGAACATTTTAGTGTAGTGACAAAACCATAATATGAAGCAATACTATAATACTTTTATCCAAGGTTATCATATAGCAATAGAATCTTATACTGGCCATTGCCTAAACTAAACCTGCTCAAACCTGCTTTTGTTTGTTTGTTTGTTTGTATTTAACGCCATACCATCTCCTATGGTAATTTTCATGGTGGGAAAAAATATATAAATGTTTACAGTGTCAGTATAACTACTCTAGCCTATATAATGTTGATTTCACCAGTAAATTAAATAGTCTAATAATGTTGTCAGTGACAGATTGCAAGTATAGGCCTTTATCTCAGACATAGGCTGCGGCCCAAATGGCACACTATACACTATGCACTATGTACTTATGCACTTACACACTCAACAGGATAGAATATGTATGTAGTGTCGTCCCAAATGGCACACCAATGTTTTTTACTAAGCGGAAATTCAAACCGTTTCCCTGATGACGTTTGACGGTTGCCAAATCAGTGAAATAAACGACCGAATTATCAAATAATATCTGCCATTAGTATTGCCGCATTCACCACCGGGAGGTGCTATAATCACTCTCGTAGGAGAATTTTGCATTCAACATCCAAAATAAATAAAGTTATCCAACATGTGCGTCCGATAGCTCCGCCCCTTCCGCTACGTAAGCAAACCTGCGGTCGTTGAGTGCGTGAAGTGTCCATCATTACACACTTCATTTTAGCGGCTGAATGAGTGCATCATCCGGGTAATTAAAGTGCACTTATTATTTTTTGAGTTTTCAGTGTGAACACACTACTTACAGTATTTATACTACAAAATGGCGTAGAATAGTGCATAAGTGTGCGATTTGGGACGCAGCTTTGGACTCAGACTCAGCTTTATTATCCCGTTAGGGAAACTAAAATTGCAACTAGGTACCATAACACATTAATAAAATATTACCACACAACATCGATACATCAGTATGTAGATACATCCCCCTCCCCCCTGGACTCATTTAATTATCTCAAACATAATTCAACATCAGAATTCAACATCTGGACTCATTTAATTATCTCAAACATAATTCAACATCAGAATTATTATAAGTAGAATAGAATTATTTATAGAAACCAGTAGACCTACACATAATGGTTTTATTGTTTAACTACATGTTTGAGAAAAAAATATTTAATTGCAGACTCATATTAAGCTTTATTTTACATCTACAGAATCGTGAGAAAATCGTGATCTTTATTTTAAGCAAATAAATTGTGATTCTCATTTTAGTCAGAATCGTGCAACTCTAGGTGCAACTTAATACATTTATAATCCGTATATCCTGCATTTTGCATTCAGAAGCACTGTGAACAGATGAGACACACGGCTGCCTATTTCACTGTGAAAAAAAAAGGTGATTAAACTTTAAATTTTAAGGATACAAACTTCAGGACATTTTTGATTTGACGCAACTTCCAACCCAAGTACTCCACTTGACTCGATTTAAGTTGAGTAAACTCAGAAATATCCTAAAGTTTGTTGCTTTAAAATTAAGTTGAGTCAACTTTTTTTTTTTTTACAATGTTCACAGCAAGCTTATTTGCTCGTCCTGCTTCTCTCATTTTCAAAATAAGAATCACATATACACTATGCTTACACACAAGCATTGATAAGTGTATGAATATAGACAATTGTTCTAAACGTTATGGCCAATTAAATGCACAGTAAATGTTAATGATCTTGTGTGCAACATTATGTAATGTAATCTACATAATGGTCTGCTTTTTACTGGCAATTTACACTCAAAGGATTTACATGAGCACAAGGAAACAATGAGAGCAAGCAAACATTTCTATGAGCTAAACTCTTACTATTTAGCTATGCCTAGAAGGTATTTTCTTCTATGGCACCCTTAAATATACTGAGATTGTAGAAGGCAGACTCAAGATAAATGAAATTTACAGTACAGCATTATGGGTAATTTTCTGCACTGATTCTACTATTAAACAATTATCAGTTCAAATAGAAGTTGAAATCAATGCAAAAAATACAGCAAAATACAAAAAACGTAAAACCTCAGAGCTCTTTGTTTTAAAATCAATACGAGCTTTTGCAATTTATAGGTTTGATTCCAATAACATGTCAATAATAGTTTGGTAACGAAACATAACATTAACATTATTTGTATCTTGGTTTCAGAAGACTCGTAGTGCAGCTGAAAGCATTTATATTAAACATTGACAACTTGTTGATAAAGTAGAAATAAACAAGCATTTCAATAGCTTAAGATATGAAAAGAAATATTAATGTTATGTTTTGTTTCCAAATTATTGTTGACATACAGCAAGATGTTATTGGCATCAATCCTATAAAGTGCAAAAGCTGGGCTCCTGGAGTAAAATCTTTTTTTTTTAAACTAATATTATTTGTATGTATCGTTGTTTCAGGAGACTCTGAACTGCTCAAAGCTTCATTAATGACAACGTCTTGTTCATAAAGTGGTAAAATAAAAAGTAAAGTAGAATAAATATGCATTTCAATCGCTTAAGATATTAAAAGAAATATTAATGTCATGTTTTGTTTGTTCCCAAACTATTATTGACATGCAGTAAGATGTTATTGGCATCAATAGAAAAAAACCAAAGCTGGGCCCCTGGATTAAAATTCTTTTTTTTAATTAATATTATTTGTAAGTATTGTGGTTTCAGAAGACTCGTTGAGCAGCTCAAAGCTTCAAGTCAAGGTTTTAAAACCGTAAAAATGTCCTATTATATTGTTCCTAAGATATTTGCAAGTTTCTTTTTATTGAGTTTTTTAGGGCAACAGTAGAAAATAACCCTCCACATGGTGGTTAACATTATAATCATTATACTTTAACCACTTAAACTCTGCTGCTATTTGGGGATTTCCGCCTGGATTTTGCCAACCCAAATTTAAAAGCTTCCCAAATCCACATGCAGAGGTGTAAATGCAAAAATTTGGTATAATTTTAAAGAAAACCCTTTGAATTTTCATAAAACACCTTTGAAAGTGTTTAAAATAACTGTAAATGTCGTCTGTGTTATAATAAACACCTAAAAAAAGAGGCGCTTTTTGTATTTATTTTATAAACTCAAATTTGAATTTTAGGTTCTGTGTGGTCTAGTGTGCTGTAATTAATTTTGGTGGCTCCTGCACATGTCTGTAATCATAGGAAAAAAGAAAAATGTCTCCACCATAATCTATGCAAAAGTTATTGTATTCCAACTGATGAGAGGTGCTGTACAAGCCACAGAGCCCGATCCTTGTTTTCATATTTCACTATTCTTTTGTTTGATTAAACATAATTCACTGTGTTTGGACCACATCAGACATATAAAAGGATTACTTATGCACATCACCTCAAAAACAGAGGAGAATGACCCTGAAGCGCACAGCATAAGGTAAGAGATGACAGCTGTCTGTGCTATCTGGGGCTGCTTATTGATCATCAATGTATTGCTTTTTGAATACATGAATGTATTCAATACTTTCAATGTATTGAATGTATCTAACCCTAACCCGGTACCGGGTCCGCAGAGTTTAAGTGGTTAAGAAACATATAGGTATTCGAAAACAAATACCTACAAAAAAACAAATACACTGGTCAGTCCATGATTCTGGAAACATCTAAAAAAAATCTCTAATAAACCAACATCCATCATGCTGTAGAGCTGAACAGTGCAGTGACTTACTTTATATACAAAGAAAGAAAGATATCCAAAGATGCCTTTTCAAGGTGAAAAGAAATCTGTGTTTTTGAAACTAATTAAGACAGCAGAAGTTAATCATTTATTTGAACTACTTAGCCTGACATTTATTGTTTCAAAATATTTTGAATGTCAAAAAATAAATACCATGTTTAATGGGGAAAACTTTGTTGATTTTTACCCAGACAATGAAAAAGTACATATTTTAGAGCAGTAATTACTATACCGTGGAACTGTCATATTTTTACCCAAGGTTATCATACCGTCAGATTTTTATACCGGCCCATGCCTACTATCGACAACTTCTTGATAAAGTGGTAAAGTAGAAAGTAAAGTAGAAATTAATATGCATTTCGATTGCTTAAGATATTAAAAAAATATCAAAGTTATGTTTTGTTACCAAACTGCAGTAAAATGTTATTGGCATCAATCCTATAAAGTGCAAAAGCTGGGCTCCTGGAGTAAAATCCATTTTCAGAAGACTCGTAGCGCAACTCAAAGCTTCATTAATAAAAACTTCTTGTTGATAATGAGGTAAAGCAGAAAGTAAAGTGGAAATTTACATGCATTTTAATAGCTTGAGATATGAAAATAAATATTAATGTTATGTTTTGTTACCAAACTAAAATTGACATGCAGTAAGATGTTATTGGCATCAATCCTATAAAGTGCAAAAGCTGGGCTCGGAGTAAAATCCTTTTTTTTATTAATATTATTTGCATGTATCTTGGTTTCAGAAGACTCATAGATCAGCTCAAAGCTTCATTAATGACAACTTCTTTTTGATAAACTGGTAATGTGAAAAGCAGAAAAAAATATGCATTTCAATCGCTTAAGATATTGAATGAAATATTAATGTCAGGTTTTCATATCTAACTACTATTGACATATAGTAAGATGTTATTGGCATCAAACCTACAAAGTGAAGCTAGGCTCCTGGAGTCAAATCTTTTTTTTTTAAATTAACATTATTTGTATGTAACTGTTTCAGAAATCTCGTAGTGCAGCTCAAAGCAATGAGATATATGCACAGCTAGTGTTTTTCAGCCAATGATTAACTTCCGGTGAAAGGTTTATGTGACTATTTTAAAATTCACAAGGTTTCTTTTACAGCATCGATGTTGTAATGTAATCCAAACATAATCAGTTAAATAATTTATTTGGCTGTTAAAGCGTAAATAGACAAAAGACTGTTTAAACGCAGGCATTAGCTGTCATTAGCAACATGCTAGTGCAAAAACTATAGAAAATACTGAGGTAAAATTTATTTCCATATTTTAAAGACATGGCGCGGAAAAAAATGAATTTAATGCAGTGCTTCTTCTTTTGTCTGATACCCACTTTATATTGTATTTCAGCCAGGCAGTGAAGATAGCTGTTGTTTTCTTAAGAAATCAAATCGTAAACGCTGCGATTTTGTATAGGACAACAATTCACCGGAAGCCCTGGGGCTGGCTGACTAAAATTAATAGTCTGTGTGCATACACAGTACCCCGTTGAATTCCTTAATGACAACTTCTTGTTGATTAAGTGGTAAAGTAAAAAGTAGAGTAGAAATAAATATGCATTTCAATCACTTAAAATTTGTCATGTTTTATTGACATACAGTAAGATGTTATTGGCATCATTGAAGTACAAAAGCTGAGCTCCTAAAGTAAAATCCTTTTTTTATTAATATTTTGTGTATGTATCATAGTTTCAGAAGACGACTTCTTGTTGATAAAGTGGTAAAATAAAAAGTAGAGTAGGATAAATATGCATTTCAATCACTTACGATATGAAAATAAACATTATCCAATGTTTCTAGAAGGTTCTGTCAAAAGATGGGAGCATTACAGAAAACTTCAGAAAGCTCATTTCAAGAATTCACTCGACAATTCCTTAATTTTACAGTATAGATCACTCTAACTGTATGATAACCAGTAAAACAACATACTGTACAATATTTACAGTATATAATTGAGGTGCTTGATGATTTTATATTCACACATTCGGACTTTCTCCTTAATATTATATTTTCAGAAAAATGTTCTTTGCCAATTCTAAATAGTGATTCACATTAGTGACTCTCAAAGTAAACACTGTTCACAGTCAATTAAATAGTGCTTATGTTGTTTTCAAGATACTTACATGTGATTTGAGACCATATATTCAAAGTATCATGGTAAACATAAGGAGCGTGTCACAAGTTGTTACAGAACGAATGTGCGAATATAAAACCAACTTTACCCTTAATCATTAAATGTGTGAATCGTTCTCTTTAAATCTCTCTCACACTATAAACACTATAATAAAGAAGCAGTGAGTGTTTCTCGAGTGAAGAAGTTTCCTCCTGTTGTTTGAACATCGCCATTTAACGTTAAAAACTAACGTAAACAGTCACGCGCGTTGCGTTAAACACACATCAGGGCAAACAATCGACAAATAACAATATACTTACCATTATCGTCCTCTCCTCTCGCCGAATAACCAGTGAGGATGATTAAAGCGATGTAAAACAGAGTAACATGTCGAGCGCTGGACTCCATGTTTTGAAGTGCAGAAATCATGGCTGCAAAACGCGTCACACACACACATACACAAACGTCCACGCGCACGCACACAGCGTCAGCAATAAAGTTTTATTTTCATCATTACTACAATTTGACAGCATCGCCAAAGCAAATAAACGAGTTAAAGTACAGAAACAGACAATACAGAAGATAAATTAGGAGTCATAAATAAAATAAGCAAAAGTATAGACAGTATAACAAAATGCATAAATAAACAGATAACAACGCGTGGATCCTCATGTAGCACATGCAAATCAATTTCACTGTAAAAATACAATACAACCCTGCTGAAAAATCCAGCTTCAACCAGCCTGGTCTGGTCGGCTGGTTTTAGCTGGTTGACCAGTCTGGTTTTAGAGGGGTTTTGGCCATTTTCAGGCTGGTTTCCAACCATCTAAAATTTTCTTCTACAATTAACATTGGTTAAATTAACAATTTGGTAAGATAAAATTGTCCGTAGTGTATGTGTGTAATTGAGTGTGTGTGGGTGTTTCCCAGTGATCGGTTGCAGCTGGAAGGGCATCCTCTGCCCACAGACTAAAAAAAGAAAATCCATACACACAATTTCACTTTCTTTTTCATTTTTTGAACTAACTAAAAACTAAGTAAGATTTATAAAATTTACTTTAAAATTACAGAAACATTATCAATTGACAAATGCCGTGGGTTTCCTCAGGGTGTGAATGAGACTGTATGAGTGTTTCCCCATGATGGGTTGCAGCTGAAAGGGCATCCGCTGCGTAAAACATATGCTGGATAAGTTGGCGGTTCATTCCGCTGTGGCGACCCCAGATTAATAAAGGGACTAAGCCGAAAAGAAAATGAATGAATGAATTAATCTATTTTGCACTGGTAATTTTTTATAAGTGGCGAGGCAGTGGCGCAGTAGGTAGTGCTGTCACCTCACAGCAAAAGAAGGTCGCTGGTTCGAACCTCGGCTCAGTTGGCGTTTCTGTGTGGAGTTTGCATGTTCTCCCTGCCTTCGTGTGGGTTTCCTCCGGGTGCTCCGGTTTCCCCCACAGTCCAAAGACAAGCGGTACAGGTGAATTGGGTAGGCTAAATTGTCCGTAGTGTATGAGTGTGTGTGTGAATGTGTGTGTGTGGATGTTTCCCAGAGATGGGTTGCGGCTGGAAAGGCCATCCGCTGCGTAAAAACTTGCTGGATAAGTTGGTGGTTCATTCTGCTGTGGCGACCCCGGATTAATAAAGGGACTAAGCCGACAAGAAAATGAATGAATGAAGTTTTATAAGTGACACTATTTAAATTCAATATCAACTCAATTTTACTGTAAGAAAGTTATATGGTATGTTAATGTATTTTAAAGTTGCATTGTGAAAAACACTGTATATTTTGCAGTGAAAATTTACAATACTGTAAATAAAAATACAGTGTTCCAATAACTGTTGAGGTGTAAAAACAGTTTTATAGCTGCACTGTTAATAATTTCCAGTAGAATGTACAGTAACTCACTGTAACTTACTGTAAATCAAGTACAGCAAAATACTGTATTTCCACTATATACAGCAGCATTTATCTCTACGTGATGCTATCATGCTTTAAAAAAAGGGTTCCAACCCGATACTAGTAA